CCTAGTGCCTTGTAGGAATCAGCTATGTTTTGATGTGCTATTATCTGTCCAGTCTTGTCTCCACTTTCTTCTCTCATCTTCAGGTCCTTCTTGTACCACTCCAGACTTTCCTCGTGCTCCCCCATGTTGTAATGGACCAGCCCAAGTCTGTTGTAAGCCAGCCCCTCCCTGTCCTTCCTCCCCAAGTCCCTGGCTAGTGCCAACATCTCTGTGTAGTACTTGTGTGATTCCTGTGGTTCATGTAGCTGTTCCCTGTGTAAATCACCCAGCTTACAGTAAATGTCCGTCTGTTCAGTCTTGTTTCCTGTCTCCATGGCAACAGCCAAGGCTGATTCATAGTTACTTTTTGCATCTGACACTTGACCTGACAGTGCTAATGATGAGGCCAGGTTTTTGTAAGCTACACAAATATTAGTTTCATTTTTGGTTTCTACTCTATAGATAGCCAGAGCTTTCTCGTGGTATCTAAAGGCTTCCTGTTGCAAACCTAAGATATCACATGTTAAACCTAGTCTGTTGTAGGCCTTGGCTTGCTTTGTGTCTTCTGACAGTTCCTGAGAACACTTTAACATGTTCTGGTAATACTGCAGAGCTGACTGTGAGTTGTGTAGTTTTGTCCTGTAGAGATCTCCTATCTGACAGTACAGGTCAAACTGTTGTGCCTTGTCTTGCTTTACCACAGGTGTGTTGAGTTCAGCAAGGAGACCTTTGACCTCCAGTGTGTCCATGGTATCAATCTCACCTAGTTAAAAAAACAACAGTTTTCACTCAACTGATTTTGTGTTTTGAGTTGTAGAGGTCGATGATGACATACTTAGTATTATGTATTAAGGAGTATGTGTTACTTGATGCCTTCTCTTTCTATTATCATGTCATTTGACATTCAATCACAGCCATCATGGGATACTTTCTGATATTTGCATAATACAATAGTTACATGACATTGTCCATGTAGTTACTAGTATATATATATGATGCTTCAATAATGCATTCTAAAGGTCCTGCTACAAACAGATACAGGCATGCAAAATTAAATTATGATTGTCTCTATTATCCTAAATGTCACATAGATTTTCGTGCATAGATCACTAAAGTTGTTAGGCAATATTATAACGTTATATATTTAGCATACCCCTACCTGTATATGAGAACTGTCTGTTGGCTCCTGTTCCAGAAGGGCCTGTTTGATACCCAGATGACCGAGAGCTCACTGAGAACATTTTCTTCCTGGGTTTTCCCATCAGTTGTTCCAGTTCCCTGATGCCCAGTGAGACCAGTTCTGAGATCTCCGGTGGCACATCTTTTTCACCAGGTTCTTCATAATCTGTAGTCTCCTGATTATCTGATGGAATATGAATGAATATCTAGGTAGGCATTATGCAAACATCAGTAATGCATCCTACATAGCCTCAAATACTGTGAACATGGGCGACCAGATTCTGCTGTTTGTGAAAAATACATGAATTAATCCATTAAGAAGCAAATGACGCTTCATCATAATGATTGTGATTTGTAATACATTATTAGACAGGATTCGAAATACCCACTTTTACACACAAGTCATATTTTCTGTGTGGGACTTGTGGGAAACGCGAGGTTGCCCGTTGCGCAAGTCACCTTTTTTTTTGCCTACAAAGCGGCTTCTGAAATAAACTGTTCGCCTCGGCTTAGGCTCAGACAGGGTGCCATCTGCTTTGTAACAGGCCAGCGAATGCATTTATCATTGTGGTAGAGGCTGTCATTTATAATAATAATCAAAACATTTTCCAATGTTGTCAACAAAGTTCATTTCTTTTAGATTTGAAGCACTTCCATTTCTTTTAGACAAGGAGCAATAAAACAACATGTAACTCAACATCTGCTTTGAGAAAACCCTTCAAGGCACATCCAGAAAAGCCAACAAGATTAATGACCACTGTCCCTGAAGATAGGGGTGTTCTGTGAAATATACATTTTTTAAAGGTATATTTGTTGTAAATTTAAAAAAATGTAATACCCGTACATGCATTTCAAAAAACACTCCTACAAACATATGTACATAATGTATGCATACTGCTATGGTGTACAAATGTGAATCATCTCGTGTATACTACATGTAGTAGAAGACATTCTAAATTGCACACCAATGCAGCAAAGGGATTGTGAGTTTTAAGTGTAAATGTGCAGACGTGTTTGATTTCAATACTCTGTCGAAGGTCATTGACCTCCTTCACAAGAGTAATGATAAAATAAGTGTAGCCTTAGAGAGAAACATTTTTTACAATGTACTAACCAAATCCTGGACTTGTGGTGCCAGTTGTAGGATCCTGTTGCAGAAGCTCCATCTGCTGACTGTCAGCTGTAAGTGCAGCTGTCTGGTCCACAGTGTGTGTTGACTGGCCATGGTTATGTGAAGGGGTTTCTAAAGGCAAGAAATATAATGTCAGACAAATATATCTTTGAAATTATGTATGCAAAGTCGCGATAACGAAAACTCAGATGGTTGACTGATTATCTTGTACCTGTTGTCAGTAAGGCGATGTCTGTTTTTTCATAATTTTCTTCCAGTGGCTCATCATGGTAATGTACAATATATATGATACCCAAGGAACTAGCAGTCTCCAAGGGTCATGCGGAATTCACTGTAACAGTTGTATTTTATTGTGCCAGCAACAAACAAAAATTACAAGAACATTCTACAGCGACATGCATTAAGAGCAGTCTTATTCGAAAATTAAGCCCATTAAGGCATGTAATGTAGAAGCTTGTGAGATGCACTAAGACCACACCAACTTAACTTTATGGATGTCACATCTGCGCGCGTATTGAAAAAAAAAAAGATCACGTCCTCCGAGGCTCTTGCCTGCCTCCGGGTAGTCCATCGTAGTTACGTAGCCGGTGGTAACTATGGAGGATGGCACCCAGACTTCCAAATCTCCGCGACTCGAGAACTCTGCCGATTCATTAATTGTGCAAGAAGCTATAGCTAGCATGTGCCGGCTTGTCGTATACGTCGCATATGTACAGCTGCAAATTCACAATACCAGCTTTGTATTCCTGTGGTTTAGTAGCATTTTATTTTTGACCGGAATTTTTTTTATTCGCCCGCGCACACTAGTTTGGGGGTCTTCAGAGGATGTTATCCATAAAATGAAGTTGTTGTGGCCTAAGATAAAGACTGGTCCAGAACACCCACATGGCCCAGGTGATAGGTATATGACATAAACCTAAAATATTTCTACATTCCTCACCACCATGGGACATATCTGCTCCCCTTTGAAAGTCTGCCTCATCAACCTCAATGTGCACATGGAGTGGCATCCCTCCACATATCTCCACCAACTCCTGGCTGATGTACTCCTCAGTCAGGATGGCTGACAGACTCCCATCTCTACAAGCTGACACAAACTCTACCTGAATGTCCCTATGGTAGAACCTCAGCTTACAGAGAACACATCCTTCACAGAGCTCCCTTATTTCAGCCTTTAACATGTGAAGTCTTTTCATTGTCTCTTTGAACCTTTGCTCATCATGCAACACAGTTCTTGTGAATAGCTCATTTATAATGTTTAAAAGGGTCTTCTTTCCTTTTTCACTAACTGTGTTATCTTTCACTTCAGACTTCAACTGTTTATACATCTTCATTCTTTCATTGAATACTGCCTCGCTCTGTACATCTTTTGTGATCATAACTTCTAACTTACTGAGGAGAATTGTTTTTCCTTCCAAGGAAATACTGTCTGCTAGTGTTATAGACAGCTTAACTTGCTGATCTGAAAAAAAAGACAAAGTTTTGCATGGATTCTTATTTTAAGTTAAGCTCTCATGGCAAGACTGTAGTGATGTATTCTAATCAATGTGATGAGTCATGAAATATTTCCTGTTTTGTTTCAGAAGTGTTTCTTCTCCCTTTACTTGTATATGTATGTATATATATATATATATATATATATATATATATATATATATATATATATATATATATATATATATCAAAGATAAATCATTCAACAGTTCCTAAAGTTTCTACCCCTTTTATTGTTTTTGTGCAAATGAAGGCACAGGTTTCTTTGAACAATTCAAGTAATTTTGTTTCTTTTCTGTCAAATACTGTAACAGTGCCTTCCAGGGCTCGAAATACTGGCCCAAATTTGCAGCTGTACACCCAATATTTTTCTGTGGGTGCACTGATATTTTTGTTGATTTAAGTAGGTTAAGTACAATATATTCTGAACAAGTGTCGGAAAAATAATAAAATCATTGTCATAGCACTTTTCTTTAGAAATGAAACATAATTAGTTGTTGCTGACATTCTATTCATTTTATCTTATATGGCACACCCAAAAAATGGTGCACCTATTCCTAAAAATGAATTTCGAGCCCTGCCTTCAATCTTACCAAACTTCACAGCTTTCCTGTCTTCGTTACTGTCCTCAGTCTCATCTGTCTCTCTCTTTCTTTTCTGGACTTGTGCAGGCTGATGTGCCTCAGTACCTGAACATGGTCCAAATTTTCAACAAATTTATAAAATGCAAGTTTAGATACAACTGATTTTTCAGATATGTTTAAGCAGTAAGGTAAAGGTTCTTTTAGCTATTGTGGACTAAACATAGAATTGACTTGCAGGTAAAAGAAATCAACATAGCATAATTTATTATTATGTTGCATAGCATAGATGTAACAGTGGGGGGTTTATAGGCGCTACCAACAGATCTGGCAAACGGGTCTAGACCTTTTCAGCCGAGCGGTTAGAGTGTCTGACTGGGGTCTGGGAGGTTGTTGGTTCGAACCCCAGCCCGGGACCAGTGGGTTTTTATCGGCTCCTCCTGTTTCTTACATAGACACTAAATCAGACAGTGGAACCTCAACTCACACAGAACACATCCTTTACAGATCTTCCTTTAGCTTTTAGTTGATCCAATGTTTGCATTGTGTCTATGAATCTTTCATGATTGTACAACACCTCTGTTGTAAATAGCTCATTGATGAATTGTAGGATAGTCTCCTTTCCTTTCTCACTTAATTCTCTCATCTATTACATTTTCTACCTCAGAGATTAATAACTGGCTGAATCTTTCCATTCTTTCATAGAATACATCAGTTTGTACATCTTTCTTAATCATGTCTTTCAGTTTATCAAGAAGAATTGTCTCACTCAGCAATATAGTGCTTTTTGTTCTTATAAACAGCTTTATTTTCTGATCTGTAAAAAAAAGTAAAGTTAGGAATTCAGAAAAAAAAAAGAAAATTAAGATGACAATATTCCATGTATAATAAAAAGTTGAAATTTAGCATTTTAAAATGTGTTCCAAGACACAATCTTTCCTCACGGGTTAAAAGTAGCCTTTTCATATTACATGCATTAAGTTGTATGTTGTAGTTGTCATTTAGCAATCCTAAGCTGTATTCCATCAATAGAACAGTTGAACAAAAATTGATAATACATGATTGTATCTCACTAAATTAAGTAACACTACTGTTGCTACTCAGTCAATCAACTGCAAATTAGAAAAGATACTTCAGCGAGGTTGCTGACTTACTGTCAACTGATTTTTGATGTTTGTTTTATTGACAAATGTTACCATAAGTCTTACCTAGCTCCACAGCTTCCCTGCTTCTGTTCTCATCTGTACATGTATCAAATTGAAAGAAAATGTAAATGAAGTTGCAATTATTGTTTATAGTAAACTTGATACTTGAATACAAGTCTACTTCAAAACCTTTAGTATACATGTATAGATATAAATTAAAGCTATTGCATGCATGGGAAGGATACGTTTTGTGCACTGTATTACTTCATACTACATGTATATGCACTTTATAATGATTCCTTTACTTAGCAGAAGAATTAGCAACCTGTGCTCACCTGTTTTTAAGGCTTTACTGCCCTCAGTCTCATCAATAGAGGCTGAACTTCTCTTTCTCTTCTGGGCTCCAGCAGGCTGAGTAACACCTGAACAAAAGTTTAACTTAATATTTTCTCTGACCTTATTTAATGACTCTCACTATATATATAACTTGGCACAAAAGTTTGTTAGGTCATATTTTTGTTGTTTCTTTATTAATTTCAATATATTACACATCATGAAAAAGCTTGACCATGTAATTTCCTTTCATCCATTTAAAGAAATGGCAGGAGAAGAAGAAACATGAGGAAAAACAACATGTCTTCACCACACCACTATGTGGTGTTGGTGAAGCCATAATTATTATACAACACTATGGGGTGTATTCTGCATCACCCTCTGTACTAGCCCTCTTGCGGGTCAGATGACTCCCTTTGGCCATCTGACCCACGATTGGGGTGGTACCTCAGGTATTTTATTACACGATAATTGCACAAGGTACAATGTATGGCAAAGTACAAACAAAAAAATCAAACAATAAAATGAATGTGTTCAATAAGACCTAATGTAGAATACAACCTAACATATAGTAATTACTCAAAAAACAAGGGCTAGCACAAGTCTTTGATAAAGTGCTACAATGGAATGAAGCTAATCAAGAGTTTCTGTACTAGCTTCATAAAACATAAGATCAACAGAGAAGAAGTTAGTATACATGGATGATTGACTTGCACATGAGTCAACATCTGACTGTATAGATAAGGGGTTATAAGAATGATGATAATTTAAAACTAGAGTTCCACGATCTCATGCCTTCGCCAAATGATGTTAATCTTTATGACTGACAAAGTAAAGATTATTCCTCCTGATTATGTGAATAGGATCCTCATTTGCATGAATTATATCTGTTGATCATATTCTCCACCAAAAAACAGCCTTAGGGCACACCAGTTTAATTTCTTGGTTAACGGATTCACCGCTTCATTTATTTCTGATTTGCAAATAAAATAAAAATCCAGAATCAACTGCAAAATGCTCATATTTTGCCCTGAACAGTTGAAAACAGACGTTTTCATCCTGGTTGTTACAGTTATTCCATCTTTCAATGCAATGGTATCATTAAAAGTTCAAAATTCATGGTTGAAATTTTGAACCAGCCTGGTGTGTTGACTTCATGGCTCCTATCGTACCATTTTGGGCCATAATACGATGCCTAGGCCTGTTTTTATTTTTTTTCGCCCGCCTGCTCCATTATTTTTCTAGAAAAATCTGTTAACCAAGAAATTAAATTGATGTGGCCTTATCTTAACAAAGAAAGCCATTCTATCATCTCCTCATAAATAATGTAAATGAGGTCCTTATTTGAATAAGTTATATTTAATGATGTACACCTTCACTTAACTTTCAAATAGCCCAATTATGCAAATAATACATAATCAACATCTGCCTAATAGATGCTTCTCTCATTCCTGCAGTTCCAGAGCAAGCCGCTAGGGGACCCAAACTCCCCAGTACAAGAGCTACATGTACCTCCCATTCATATTTCGTGACCTTAGCATGTCTAGATCATACGATATCTGCTGCAGTACGAGTAACAAGCTGCCAGGGGACCCAAAATCTAATAATTTCTACGTCTCATCAAGACCTACCCACCTATTAAATATCATTAGACAATCCATTTATAAGCCTTCTCGAGTTATCGAATTTACAGACATGCACAAATACACACATACACTGACACACACACACAAACGCTGCTTAAAACATATTAACCTTCTTGGCAAAGGTTATAGTATACATGTGTCAGAGTGTTTTGCTGGACCACTTCAAAATTGTCCCATATCAAATTATAGTATAATATGGACAATCTTGTGTATGATACTTTTTTTAAGTCACAATATTTCTTTGCAAGTTTAAATCTGTGCTGACATTTTGTTGCCTCAAGTGAAGAAGTTTTAGTACATACAATGACCCTCACAGGTTACTACAATGTACATGTTAAGTTGATATGTGTATGTTTAAAGTTAATATGTGTATATACGTTAATATGTGTATTTTTAGAGTTAATATGTGTAACTATATTGTTTTGCATTAACCACTCTATTCAAATGGCCACATAATGCCAAAATTAATGTAGCACTAAAAGTGACGGAATTTCCTGGAACAACAATAGACAAAAATGTTCGTCAGTAAAAAAACCACGTCTTGTATTTCTGCACATATACATTAACTATTTCCCAATACTAATGTACATGTGCTTCCCAAAGAATACATTTTGTACATCATATTGCCCTTTCCTGGTTAGAACCTTGTGTATTATGTCATAACTTACAATTGTAAATGTTAACTTGATATGTACTAGTATGTTGTGACATTTCAGACATAGTAGAACTGGGGCATGCATCTCTGTTCTGAGAATCTAGTTTTGAGTGACCCTTCCCTTTCCCCCATGTATAATGTAAGTCTCTTGAGTGCTGTGTCCTCTGATATTCTGTCCTGCACACTGTAGTCTGTATATCGATCATCCCACACTTCTGTTCTTTTGGGGATCTACAGTAGTCTTGTCTTTACTTAGGTACCAATAACAACTGTCTTAATGTCCAGGTTGGTTTGAAACATGTTTTAATACCATGTATGAGCACTGCAAATTCTCCATAGAGCTTCTGAAAGGTTCTTGATGTAGATAGGATGGTAGGATATCATCATGCACCCGAGAGGGCAGATCGAGATTGACTGAAAATCATGTTGAGTTTTTTTTTTGTGTTGGAACATAGCTTTATAAATTCTACAACTTACAGTATGGATAAATCTACCAACATGGATGGGCTTTCATTCAAAGCTCTTCTACTAGCTAACTCATGACCAATATGTTTTGTCTTCTCTATCACTAGGAAAGCTTAACTTATAAACCCTGTATGAAAAAAAAACATTTTCTACAAATTACATGGTCAATAAAATGGTCTTTCTTAAATTAGTCTACATAGTGACGTAGCCCATTTATCTTACAATTTGATGATTTTTGTCTTCAACTCAGAAAAACGCAAGTCCCTCACATGTATCTGTACTTCCTGATACAGTGGTCTTTTGGATCAGCTACAAACAGATGTCCATCCTCTGTCACAGCCACCCCATGGGGTTTGCTCAGTTTGTCCCCCTCACTGCTAATGGTGGACACCCAGGTGCCATCTGGGCGGAACACCTGAAGCTTCTTGCCATATTGTACACCACCTACATTAGATTCCATTCCAATGTTTCCCAGAACTATGTTCCCCTTGCTGTCAGCTGACACCCCTGTAGGGTCCCACATGTTCTGTGGCTGTCTACCTTTCTGACCAAACTTGTGTTGGAAGTTAAAATTCTTGTCAAACACTTGAACACGGCTGTTGTCTTTTTCTGCTACAATGATGTTGTCTTCTTCATCCACACAGACAAAACAGGGCAAGTCAAACTGTCCCTCCCCCTTCCCCTGCCCTCCCATCTGTTTCACCAGTGTCCCATCTGCCTCAAACAGGAAAATGCTGTGTTTACCTCGATCAGCTACAAGAACCCTCCCGTCCCTCTGAACTGCCAGGCCAAAAGGATTTATGCAATTTTCACATAAAGAAAATTTGTGCAGCAGTTTTCCTGATGGGGAAAATGCCATCACTTCTTTCCCAGATCTCACCACTATGGTGCCATCAGTATGAACTGCAACTGATACTGGGTTTGCAGTTGTATGAAATGAGAAGTCTAAGTTCCCACTCAGGTCGAACACCTGAACACGCTGGTTCCAAGCATCAGCCACATATAGCCTGTCCCCACTGACTGCTACATCTGTAGGTCTGTTAAACTGCCCCTGCTGGCTTCCCTCCTGCCCAAAACTTAGCACAGGGTTGTTACTGTTCACATCTACAGTGAGAGGGGAACACAAACTCACCCCACCCCCTGTAGTGCCAGCCCCTCCTATTGTAGTCACCCCCACCTCATGCTTCCCTGATGTTTGTGGCCTCCAGACTGCCTCAAACACCCCCTCACTGGTTTCTATAGTGTCTAATCTGGCACACTGCCCCACAGGGGAGGTGACTGTGACTTGTGGAGTTCCCTGAACTTGGCCTTCCTGTGGTGTAAAGATGACAGTAGTTGGCAGGCTTTCTACGGGGAGGATTGTGACTAGAATACTTGTATTGCACACTGAAAGAGACCCTAAATTGCATGTGAACATCTCTGTCTTAGGCTGAAATGATACCTGCTCTTTCAATCCTCCATGTGAGATCTTCTTTGCACTTAAAACCTTAAGCCTATTTTCTAGCTGCTGTCCAAGTGTGAGGATTTCTACATCATTATCTCGAGCAAGAACATCTCTGCAGAACTTAAGTTCATCTTCTGTGGATTTGGAAGTCTCCTCCAAGACTTTAATCTCTGCAAAGAGCGCTTCCTTTTGGGTCTTTTCCATCTTCTCTAGCCTGTCTGTAAGTTCTTGCATTGCATTTTGTAGTTTTGCATTCAGTTGTGCAAAATGTTGCAGCATTTCTTTTTTAACTGTTTGACAGTTTGTTGTGATGCTTGTGAGTTCTTCATCAACAGTTGCTTTAGTTTTTGTCAAAGTGTCAGCTGTATCCTGGGTTTGCCTCACTAACATCTGCAGTTCAGCCTTGAACTTCTGTGTGACATCACTGAGGTCCTGTGGGTCGTGGTTCAGTCCTGGGCGGTGCTCGGTAATGGTGCAGTCTCGGCAGATGAGCTTGGCACAGGGTTGGCAGTAGAACGTCAGGCGCTGGTCAGTATGTTTAGGACAGAACTCTCTCCAGGTATACAGTACACATGTGTCAGACTGATGTACTGGAAATTTAAAAAATTATCCCCAGTTCATTTTGGGTCTCAATTTGATTCTGCACACTCACAATGTAGCAACCATCTCTTTCAGAAAATAATTCTGAAGCCCAAAAATGTGTACATGTATGGTAAAGATATCCTTCTCAATACAAGAACAACAGAATTTAACTTTCTTTAACTTTTCAAATGTTAGTACATTTTTAGGAGAAAAAAGGATTTTCTGATGAAAAATGATGAATAAAATTGGACATTTTCACTGGAATTAAACCCATATGCTATAAGTATAATTTAGACACCAAAATAACTGATATTGTTGGAAAGAATAATGTATTATAAAGAAATTTGTAAAGAAAATTATAATACATCAAAGGTGCATAGAATGCGTAACTTTTTTAAAAGGCAGAGGAATATCCAGAAATACATAAGGCTTGGGTCCAAAATCAATTTTCTCCCAAAATACACTTCTAGTACACTCTTCAGCCAAGTTAGTAGTTGTAATTTCACAGATTAGCAAAAATGTGAACTCAAACCTGAAACCCTTAACCTTTTTGTCACTTTTTTATTGCCCACTACCATGCACAGAAAAAGGACTGGTGTGTGCCTACCAAACCATCCTGAAGAGTATGTTGCTCATAATTAATCATACCTGATTCCAATGGTTTCCTGTCTGGAATGGATTCTTCTACATGTACTGGTGCACTTTGTGTCTGGACTTCAACTTCAGATGTTTGCTGTGCTTTGTCACCTAAATGACAAAGATACAATCATGTATATATAACTACATGTAGTCTGTGAAAGATCTCATACCTTCTTTGACTGTTATTAGTATTTAGCCATTACCTACTGACCTTGACCTAGTTTTCAGGACAAACCACTGTACAGACATTCCAAACCTGAAAGTGCCTCTGCAGTACCTTGCAAAGCAGCTAGAATGCCCATAATCAAACTTAATCTTGAATATTCCCCACCCCATCTTACCAACAAAGTAAACCAAAAGAGTCACAACAGCAAAAGTTACATGTATCTTGTCTAGTTAAATTCCGTTAATAAAGCAGTTTGAAAAAAGCAGCTGTTTCGCATGGCTCAGACATCTATATCCTACTAAAAAAATCAAGACCATAGCATGTCCACAACACCAGATATCATACTCATGTACACTGCTGCTGCAGTACTGCACAGACATGCTAGATTACCCATAATTGACCTTGACCCAAACCCAACCTATCTACCAAATATCATCAATATGACAATGATACTTAGCTTGCACCCATGCCCCAAGTTAACCATTATAACCAGTTAATTCATTGATAATGTTTACTAGTATACCCATTATATTATACATGGTGTACCTACATTTATATCATACCCAGGCCGCGATAACGTTCGATAACGGGTTCCAGACCACGGCCCGGTCCGGAACCCGTTATCGAACGCTTCCATGGCTTCCATAAAACGATTCGAACGCGTTTCGCCCTAACCGCGTGCGCCCCTTTCGAAAATTCGAATACAGAATCCGGACGTTGGAATTGATGTTGCATTTTAGGGTTTAGTGGCACCAACTTTTGGCTCATCTTGCATTGAAAGGCGTGTTTTCTTGGGTGGGTATGATATGAATAAAATACAACAAGGTGTATTCCGCATCGCCCTCGGTCCCGGCCCTCCCGCGATCCGACCCACGGTCGGGCCGATACCTCGGGCGATACGGAATACCCCGTGTTGTATTCTATATGTATACCGGCAACCTTCTCGACAAAGGTAATGATCAGCACATGTAAAATAACAGATAATAACAATTTCTATCAACTGTTTTTATCCAGGATATGCAAGCAGTAGTGACTCACCCATCTGTAAACAGCTGTCAATGAGCTGCTGATGAGACTCTTCCCAGTACTTTGAAGACAGAAGCTTGTCCCTGCATCTTGCTGCTCTTTCAAACTCAGCTTCACAATGACTCAGTACTTGTTCGATGCACCTGGCCCATTGCTTTACATTGCCCTCCTTATTTCCTTCCATTGGCACAGTGGAATGGTAAAACTCTATCGATATCTTATTCATGAAGTCTGCCAGTCCAGATTTATCTGACACGAGGACAGGAATTCCTGCAGCGATGGCGTCCAGTCCAACAAGATCGAACGGTTCATCTTCGGAAGGTATCACCACAAGATGGGCCTTCAACATGTCATTGTGAAGTTCCTTCAGTGTTCCATAGGGAAGAAGGGTGGGCTTCAAATTTTTTGTCCTGAAATGTGTCTGAAGAATGTCCTTATGACTTGTCAGACAGCCTTCTTCAATGATTCCCCTCATACGACACTCCATGTTCCGTTTTACAGCAACAATGTCTGTGGCATTAGCAACAAGGTCATGCCCCTTCAGATTGTCAACACTCTTCACCCTACCAATGGACAGAACCACCATTGTCTTTGTGTCTTTGTAGCTTGCTTTTGTGTGCTCAAAGATCTTGGATGGTCTTGGAAGAAATTCAAAATGCTTAGGTTGTTTGTCAACAGGCGTAGCTCTGAACTGGTTCTCAAAGTGGTCAAATGTCATATTTCCAACAGAGAAGACCACATCAGCTTCTTGTGCATTTTGAAAGGCAGAGTTATTTCCCTGTGTATCATCTGATATGTCGTTATGAATGAGGATGACTTTTGCTTCTGGGCAGCGATCCTCTTTTATGTTGAGTGCTGCTCTACTTGTGACATCAGCATGCCCCACAATGCTCTTGACCTTTGAAGGAAGATGTGGGTATTTGGAGCGATGATCAAATGTCAGCCAGTCTGGTGACGGGTCAGTCCTTGGGTCACCTGGCTCAAGTTTAGGCAGTAACAGTTCCACTCCATCTTGTTGTGCATCCTGTTTGTCATCTTGTGTTGCTTGTAAAACAGTACTGAAGACTGGTATGTCTGGTTCACGTTCCCTGATTGTTTCTACCGCCTGTCTGTTTAAGAATGAGCTTCCAACTTTATCTGTGCCATACTCAGTATGGACCAGCAAGACTGCAGACTGATCTGTGGGGAAAATGGGTATTATGTTATGAATCTAGGAACAATTATCATAATCTTTTAGACAAGTCTTTTTTAAAAGACAACAACTGTCATTATCATATTGCCAGAAGACTTCAACTAATCAGAAATCCTCATTTCTAATTAGCAATAACCTCATCAGTGGTGAATAATGATCTCACAAGAGGTGAAGTTAAATACATTAACACCCCAGCCAATACGGTTGACTGATTTACATGACCCTGGTTTGTGTTCGACATATCAAGCAACGGACAATGCAGTAATGGAATATTACTTTCCGAAACAAATTTTGACTCTGTTTTTTTTTGTCTTTCACTAGGACCTGTGGGAGACAACAAGGACCAACATGAATGGGAAGATGCAAACCTGACCAATGCTACCGCAGTAATGCTGACCAAGTTTGTTCATGCCAAGCCTACAATTTGTAAACATGCAGGCCTTATAATACACTGCGGAGGTTTGCTACATTGTTAAGTTAGTTAGTTTGACATTGTGTTGTCCATTGTATGCCCTTGAGTGTGATCTTTTTACCTGTTTTACCAGGGTTCATTTGAGTTCAATAGAACATTTGGGTTTATCTGGGGCCAATAGAATAGCGTGAGTCTTCCATTTAAAGTCAGGTCATTTGGATGTTTCAAGAAATAATTTACTAATTTTGGGGGTGGTGCAAAATATGTTTTCTTTTCTTCTGCTCAAAGGGGGACCTCAAAATTCACATGTATTGACATGGTCTTCATTTTGTTATGAATTATTTTAAGAATTAGTTGATGCCAAGGCTGCAAACATTTCTATTCAACAAGGAAACATGCTTCAAATGTTTAATAGCAAAAAGAGTAGTCTCCCTCTGCATAATGGTTTACTCCCATAATGGTCAAGTGGTCTTTAATTTACATGTATCTTGTAACAAAGAACCACTTATGAAATAAAGACCTCCTGAGATGATACTTGTAACATGCTATGACACTATGGCGTCATATCCAATAAGAAACGGGGCTTCTGATTGGTCAATGCCACCTGGCTATATGATAATTAAGGGATAATGACCCGTGTATATGGTATGATAAGGCCTTATCAGTTGCTATTAATTAAGGGTTAATGTCCCGCCCCGAGGTGAATATGGTGTGATAAAGCCTTGTCAGTTGCTATAACCACAGAATAAAGCCACCAAGTGAGCGCAGCGAACGAGGTGGCTTTATGAGGTGGTTATAGCAACTGACAAGGCTTTATCACACCATATTCACCGAGAAAGGGCGGGACATTAACACTATTATCATATAGCTTACACGATAGTCTATCCAAACTGATGCAGTAAGTGATACAATGCACATGCTGAATAGAACATAGAACATATTTCCCTCTGGAGTCACCTGAGGTCACTGGGTAGAGTTCACGTTCTATGTCTTCTATCTGGGTCACAGGCAGGGAACAGGTGTTCTTATGGGAGTCAGCCGAGGTCATTGGAACACAACTAAAGTTATTTTTGGATTTTTTAGAACTAGAGCCCTGTTCTGGGGTGATTATTTGGGTTGTTTAATGTATGGATTGGGATGAATAAATACCCGATTTTGAGTCTATTTGTGACATTACGGCGTCATAAGGAATGTGGAATGGAGCCTTCTGATTGGTCAACTTCACCTGGCTATATGATAATAAATAATAGTATTATCATTGGCAGTCCAGTCTTGGAAGACTGTTATCATGGGTTTATGAGGTTTTTATATCAACTGACAAGACTGCCAGTTATCACACCATATACAGGAGCAGGTGGGTCATCAAACATCATATACATGTAGCATGTAACTATTTTAGATGTAAAATAAATGTATCATATGCAATATTGTATGTCCTTGTGATCATTTCATGTGTTCTATTTGGGGTCATAAAAATCATACAAGGTATTGCAGTTTATTTTGCTCTCACTAAAACAACATGGCTGTTGTTTATGGAGTTCAGTGGTACTGCCCACTTATTGTTGTTGTGTTTGTTATCTCAAAACTTTATATTACTTCTGGTGTAAACATATGCCTCTGAGGCCTATACTGGGGACAATCTACTAGTACTTCTGAGGACAAACAGATATTCACTATACATTCGTGTACAATAACAGTCATTTTGCAAAAGAGAAGTCCTGACTCATGAAGACTGACTCAAATCATACTATTAGGCTTGTCCCTGAGGCGTTGCCAAAAAGCCTCAGAGTCTGACAGTCAATGGTGTATTAAAGACTCTTTCAATCTTTACTCATACTATTTCATAGAAAGAATGACTACTTTTTTTGCTAAGCAGTACTAAAATGTATAAAGTTAACATGTTGTGTACTGGCCATTCCATACGAGATTGAGAATTTCACATTGCTCATATGTGAAATTCATACGAATAAATTGCTTAGTTTTAAACTCAGATGAATAACCTTAAGACAATTAACTTTTGTCATAATTCAAAACTCTGTATGCTAAGACTACGAGTGCTGACTTACCCATGTTTGTCCCTGTCCATTGTAGGTTTTCCATATTGCCTCAGATCTGTGGAAAAAAAATCCATACATAATACATTGCATAAGTATTAAAGACGACAAACGCGGAAGTATCATAATACGGTCAGGACTTGAACGTTTCCATGAATATATGTAAAGTCTAGGTTGAGTTTGGTCAACGAAATACGAAGAGACAAATCTTCAGATGGTCGTGAAGACGATTTGAGGGCAAAAGTATAACAGGTGCTTCGAAATGTCAAAGTTTTCTGGGACTTCTGCAGTTGTTATATTTATTCCTGTACCCGGAAACGAGGCACACCCACTCTTAAAGCTGTGCTGAAAGTTTACAATAAAGTTCAGCTTTGCAATTTTTTACGGAAACTATTGTTGTAGGTAGCGCCGCAAGAACGTACTCTTTAATGTTGTTATGGTCAAGAACCCGACATACCTGTGTTAAAGTCGAAAAAGGTACATTTTTTGATGGTATTGGCTAGATGTCTGGGATCGCTGTCGACGACCGCTGTCCCGTGACGTGTCGGACTCGTCCCCAGGGTACATGTCACCTATGCTTGGGAACGATAGTCACGTGATGACCGACAGCACAAGCCTGAAGTTTGTCGGTCGTACAAAATGTATGTAGCTGGACACAAGTTACCAACCAATGAAATCTTCCCTTCATACAAAACTTTACCCTGGATACCAACTAGTATCGGGCCGTTAGCCGTTTTTCTTCGGCAGCCAAGAGCCCTTCTCCCGCCTATCCAAATTACCGATACGGGGGAGTTGAGCCCGAGGGGTTTGTCCGGCCCTAGAACGTTTGTCCGGCCAGCCAAACTCCCCCCCGGGCTATACTTCCCCGTAGCGGTAATTTACACCAGCGGGCGAAGGGCTCTTGCGGCCCGGAAAATGAGTTCTGGATTCCAGGGAAACAAAATTTTCGAGGAAAAAATGACAAAGGTCCCAATGAGTCAACTTTGAAGTTCGCGGTGAACTACATGAAGGCTTTCTGGTGATTTTTTTTCCATTCATCGATGATTGTCAAGTTTTGGCGGGAAAGCCAACATATATGCATGTGCACTGTTGACACTTCGACTCTGAAGCATTTGGGAGGGTACAGTGCACGTGGGTTGAGGGATATCAACCTAGAATATATGTACAATTAGGCTGGAATTTCTATACATTGTCCAGTATTTTTATGTCGTAATCTCATCCCAAAACTTTTATCCAGTGGAACAGATCAAAAATCCTTCAAGAAATACCTGAAAGATCTTGATGCTGTTTCAAATTGAAATCATACTGCTTTACAATCCTGTTTCAACAACAGTCTCAGAAGATTTCCTCCTTAAAAAGTAAAAAAAAAGTTAAGAATTCTTTACAGAAAAGGTCACGTAACTCATTGAAAAAAAACATTTCAAAGACTTTTTAAAATTCTCATTCGGCTATTCCGAGATCAGGGTGCGCCAATGGCATCGTGCATCGTTATGTCAATCTTACTCTGTATTTATCGCATTCTGTTGACATTTATCAAACTTGTTATACTAGTACAGTTATTTTGCAGACAATCAGGAAGAGATTTGGTGTTAAGATGTTTAAAACTTATGCTATGGCCAATTTAAGACCAGAAATTGGCATAAAATCTACGTTATGCTGTTGCACTTGAAAAATGCCAGTTTTTGAAATATGCTTTTAAGTAATTTGGGAACAAAAAAATGGAATGAAAAGATTTGCAATATGTTCAGACATGCTCAGTCTGATATGTTTTGCAAAAAACCTGATGATGATTGGAAATTTCTCTTTTCTAGAGCGCATTCATCAATATGTTGTACACGTTATGTAAAATTCATAAATTAACACATTGCAATTAACTTATCTCCCTGTACTAAAAAGGATGGTGATAGAACTGGCCATTTTGCATGTTATGCAAGGTACATCCATATATGACACAAAACATGTGTTTTTATGTTGCTTGTCCTTTGGGTTAATATGGCTGATGGCTTACAGTTAGTGTCTTTTTTGTCCGAGAAAATGTGTAGTGTCCGTTGCTCGGTAATAACTTAAAATAGAAAAGCTGTGGGTGCATATGATTTCAGGTTTTGAAACAGCTGAAGATGCTGACTTAAAACACAGTAGCTATTTCAGTCTATTGCTGTAATTATATGAAATAATGTCAAAAAACCTCAAGGGTGTAGTGTCCGTTGCCATGTAGTGTCCGTTGCCAAGTATACCATATAGGTACATTAATTACATTTTTGTTGCAATTTTGAAGTAATTTTGTCATTTATGTTATTTCTGTAGCATTTTGTCAACCCCTTAATGACAGGTCTTGCAAGATTTGGTGTTCTTGTCATGTACTTGAGCGGCCAGATGTGGCCGGCAACGGACACTACAGCTTAGCTGTAGTGGCAACGGACACTACAGCTTAGCTGTAGTGTCCGTTGCCGGCCACATCTGAAATGAGTGGGCTAAAGTTTGGAAGAGCACAACTTTTGAACTGAACGTCTCTATCCAAAAATTTAAAAAGTGCAATGTATGGCAACACCTCTAGAGCGATTTTCTGCACTGAAAGTAGAAAAATATAAAACTTGAAAATTGGCCCAAGTGCAACCCTTTGGCGCACCCTGATCTCGGAATAGCCGATTACTTAACCCATTCTCTATCAAATACAGGGTGGTACAAAAGTTCTGGAATGCATTCAAGCCAGTCAGCTTTGTCTTCTGGGTTACATGAAGTTTGTCTTGACTATGGGGCTACAGCAGAGAATTGTTAATTTTTTGTGTCTAGGAGAGTGGCCAAACTTTTGCCCCACCCTGTAACATGGCCCTTCGATCAGCAATGGTTCCTCTACTACATGTATATCTACAGCCGTCTGTGACGTGGCAGCATGCACGACCTCCCTGCAGGAAAGACAATGGAACAGCCCTGTTGTGTCCCAAACCGTGCCTTGTCCCAAACCATGCCTGGGCATGGTTTGGGACACACGGTGCATGTCCCAAACCGTGCCTTGGGACTGAGCACAGTTTGGGACACGCGGGGACTGTCCCGAACCGTGCCTGACCGGGCACAGTTCTGGACACATAATTAAAAAAAAGGGCCTTGTCCCATTCCGTGCTTTGGGGGTGGAGCTTATTGTTTTGAGGGAGGAGCCTTCTCGTGGTGTTGTTTACTGTTTTAGGCCGCCATCGTTTTCGTCGGGGCAAGAATAGGAAAGAATCGGTGTAATTCCTGCTCTGTAAAGTACATTTTAACATTTCACGCTGGTCTACGACTTACATGTAGTGTCCAAACAGATTGTCTTGTATCATTCTGCAACACAGTGCGAACACAGTTATTGATACAACATAGCACGTAGTATACCCTAGAAAGCAGACTGACCCAAGCTCAGTCCTTGAATCGGAAACAACACTTGCTTATCCACAAACCCCACGCTCGGATCTGGATAGTCCAGACGCGTATCCACGACAGCATAGAGAGCAAATCAACTTGTAGATAAACGAAGTGTTTGTTCAGAGCCGTGCTTCAGGTCGAGCACATTTCTGGACACGCGATGGCCTTGTCCCAAACCATGCCCGGGCATGGTCTAGGACACTCGGCGCGTGTCCCGAACCGTGCCCTGGGACTGAGCACAGTTCGGGACACGCGGATGCCTTGTCCCAAACCGTGCTAGGGCATGGTTTGGGACACTCGGCGCGTGTCCCAAACCGTGCCCGGGGAAAATCTACATTCTGTGACACGCGGGGGAATATCCAGAACCGTGCCTGACCGCACACAGTTCTGGACACGTATTATTTAAGCTTGCGTGCTAGGGGACTGAACACAGTTCTCATACTGACATGTGTCCCAAGCGAGTTTCTTTCTTGTATTAAATAGTCTCTGTATATTATTATCTAAGTTCATGTCGACCAAACATAAGACTAAGTTGTGAGAAAACTGCGTTTTGAAAGCACATACTGTACATGCACAGACTCGCAAAATCTCACGTAATCTAGCTATATAAGAAATCGTGGGCGTGAATAATTATGCTTAGGTTCCCGCCAATCACTATGATTGACAGCACTCCCGGGCACAGTTTGGGACAGTCAGGCTGTGTCCCGTTCTGTGCCCGTCCCATTCCGTGCCTGAGCGGGCACAGAACGGGACACAGCCTGACTGTCCCAAACTGTGCCCGGAAGTGCTGTCAACAAGCACATCAGCATTTTTCAAGAAAACTAAGGCCGTGTTTAAGTGAAGTCACCCAAGGCGTTTTATATGTGGTTTACCCCGAAGCCGGTTTCAAGTGGCTCCATCTGAACGCTCCGAAATCACATTGAAAGCGCCTCGATCCCAAGCCACTTCTAGAGGTGGGTTCGAATCGGTTTTCCCGCATCGCGATTTGCGTCTGAACGCAATGTGATTTCAATGTAACTTCGCCTGCATGGTCATGGATTACGGGGTGATATATATTTCTTTATTTATATGCAATACCAACTTTTACGTGGCAGCAACTTAAAGAGCAGTAATGGTCAAATAATGTGTCCGTTCTAGGACGAGCTTCACCGCCTCTGGCGGGACTACGTCGGCATTCGGCCGAGATACGCTGGGAGTGAACTTATCATTACAGTTAACAAGTAATTTCTGGACTCTCTTTTTCCTGCACCTGTCTCCACCATTAACATATACATGTAGTTCCGTGAACATGTCCATTTTTCTCAGACCGTGAACTTTTGCTACAGTGAACATAAAGTGAATTACAGTATTTTACTGTGGTCTCACAAACTTAACAGTTCACTTCGGAGTACAACATTCACTGTGTAAAGCAAAAGTGCTATGTAACAGTTCATCAGTTGTAAACATTAAACATAACTACTTTACTGTAGAATTAAATTGATGATAATAGATGTTTCTCTAAGCTCATTAGAAATGTATTCCGTAGGGTAACATCGACGTTATCAGTATTTAAAGTTCAGCTCTCTCTTTGTTTTGTACAAACTACATTCGTAAATGTTGTCCCATATCGGTGTAAAAGACAGAGTCTGAATCCCTTTAGGCGGTTCGCCTCCATTCCACCTTGTTCAGCTTCAGCTAAGTGCAGTTCTGAGTGAGTTACATAGAGGGCGCTAATGTACTGTAATGTAATCTACATGTACACAGTTGATGGCGTTCGTTGGAGTTGCACAATACCTCGTCAAAAGTACGGAGTATAGCGTAAAAAGTTGCAATTATGTATAAACTATGAACGGCAGCTATTTTGAAGTAAACAGCTAATGTTGAACATTTTTCTTACATTCTCACAAGAAAAATGTTATTGTTAGCTGGACTGCCCCTTTTTATTTGTGTCGGTAAATATAAGCACATTAAGAATGAGCACTAGTATTAACTCAGCAAAGTCCATGTAAAACACGGCATATTTGTAACGTTACACAGAATATTTTCCAGATTCAGCTATGTTCATGAGAACTAAGTCCGTTCCCGTCCAGTAATGCAGATAATTGTCGGATAATTAGAGCTCTATTGTTGTTGTTCAATGACATTTAGCTCTCAAAATAGCCATGTCCTTGTCTGAAGACTAGGTTGCGGGTCAGCGCAGTAGGGCTGTTCCCACAAGTCTGATAGCAGCATGGAAAACTAGAGCTCTACGATCTCATACATTCGTCAAATGATAACCTGCCAACATTAGAAATATCACTAAGATCCAGCCACGGCTTCTTGGTATACTGATCACAAATAGGCAGGCAGCCTATAAACACACACACACGTGCGCGCGCACGCACACACACACACACACACACACACACACACACACACACACACACACACACACACACACACACACACACACACACACACATATACGCGCGCACTCACACTCACATGCACACACATACAAGCGGGCGCACATGCACACACACACACACACACACAGAGAGAGAGACTAGTGAAGATAACTACAAGGAAACAAATTGAATGGAATAAATAGTTAATGAATGATACAATATAAAGTAACAAACTAAATATAACGCATACGGGTGGTAAGACAAGCTTATACAGCATGTTCCATCCCCTGACGTTTGTTAACAGGAAAATAAAATGCGAGAAAATCAGTTGTGTACAACAAACTTGAGTTCGCCGTCACTTAGTCTTTGTCCTTTTATTTGTATCGATATCTTCTCTGAATAAAAAACAGATGTTTTTTGTATATAGTAGAGGGGATTCATTCCTCAAGCTACCGACATCTTGCACACGCAGTCGTCCCTCAGTAAGACATCCGGAGCCGCATAGTTCCCGTTTAGAACTTTTATTCAGCCTGTGACACACGATGTTTTTGGTAACAAACTACTGTGTACCGACATCACGGGTAGCTGGGAGCTTATCCTTCATAATGTGTCAGAAACACGCAACATGTCCTGCCGTGCACTACTGATAGTTAGGGGCAAATGTTTTCTGTATTACTAATACTAGAAATAGCAATTATCACATTCCGGAGTAAAAGTGCCCCAAATTTCACTCGCTATCTGTCTAAAGACAGTACAACCCAACTACAAATCTTCAGTGCGTTTTCAGGGCCAGTCGGGCTGCATAGAACAGGAAGGTTTGAAACCCCCTTGTTTTATAAAATGGATTGTACACTATATACATTTGTAGCTATACAATGATAAGTGTCTATTGCTTTTCCTTTTTCTCCGCTTGTTCAATTGATTTCAATACGTTAGATCCTATAGATAAATTCAACTACAATCTCAGGGGAGATAACCAATACAGTGTTCAAATAGGAAAATACATTAAAGAATGTTTCGATCTTATTAGAGACCACATGTTAGAGAATAGTTAAACCTCTATTGTTACCGCATACATATATTCTGTACGTAAGATGACGTTATCCACACATGTATTCAGTGACGTTATTCACACATGTATTTAGCTTTGTTAGATCTTTAGTTGTAGAAGACCATACAAAAGTCCCTGTACTTTTTTGTTGTGTCAATAAAGAATCTTTCTATCTACATGTAGTGGGTTGTGCAGGTGGTAAATGACCTCTAAGCCCGGTTATTGACCCTGAAGGACGAGCTTTGATTTCTGACAAGACAAATGAATCCTCTGGTCTGGTGAGACAGTACCGAGGTCAAACTGACCTTTGAATTCATGAAAACATGATAATCTGTGTTCCAAGGCTGGTTAGTCCAGCGGCATTGTAAGAAAGCTTGATGACGGTTGTTTTGGTATAGGTCAGGCTGACCCCAAATTTCTGTCAAGATAATTGTCTTCCCAAGGTCTGGTCAACAAAACAGGAGCACTTCTGAGAACCGCAGCAGATGTATAAAGGCTGTCATTATAACACACCAGCCGATCAGAGATTGTGCCCGACATGCAAGGAGGGTATTGAAGACGAATTCCACTTTATGATGTCATGTTCAACATATGAAGAAAACAGACAAAAGTTGATGCAATCCATAGCTTCCAAAACTAATGTTACACTACCTCACTTAAAATTAGGTGTCTTTAATATGCTCCTTTTATGTCCTACTCAGATATCAGTGTACGTTGGAAAATTCATATTTGAATCACTACAAAAGTGACACCATATTGACACCAACAGAATGTAATAATACTCTTCCTATTAATAATTAAAGAAAACACAATAGATTAGCTTTAGTATCATTATGGACTAGCTCGTTAGAATTATATTTTAGTATTAGTTTGTTGTTTCTTTGCCATACATTGTACCAGCTACAGTTGTTGAGCAATAAAGTTGATTTGATTTGTTTGCACATTTTAGTTGATTTGAAGTCTCGAATCGTGTATACGAGTCCTCCATCTGTAATGTTTTTATGCTTTGGTGACATTTGTGAAGTCCAGGATTGACAACAAGGATTCGGTGAAACTAGACTAAAGCTCTTTGTTAAATAGTTGCAGCAAATGAAATGTCGTTGACAAGCATGAATTGTTCTACATGTATCTATCGCAACAAGATGACCAACCGCATTTCGTCAGAAAAAGATAAAACAAAAATAACTGTGTGCAAATCAATACATTTTCTGAAATATTCCTGAAATTCAAATCTTTGTGCATGTAGGTGGCTTGTGCATGCCCTCAATGGTTCTGTAGTAAGGCCACAGCAATTAATTTTTATGGATGACATCCGCGCGCACATTAATTTTCGCATGATTTGGGAAAAAAAGAAATTTCGTTTCCCTCTGACAGTGGTCAACGTGTCGAAAATGGGCAAAGATGTCTGTTGCCATGCCGGAAGGTGGATGGAAGATAACTATGAAGAGAGGAGACAAGAAAGGGCTCTGATTTAATGTTTTGTTTCTAACTTTGATGCAGTGATATGTGATGCTGGCTGTGTATACGCGATGTTCCTACTGAGTCAAAACCATTTGTACAATGATTTAGTCAAAAATTTTAAATTGTAGGAACCTTGTTTTTTTTTTGGCCCGCCTTGTTTTGGTTTGGAATCTGCGGAGGATGTCATCCATAAAATTGACTTGCTGTGGCCTAAGGTTGGTCTGGAGGTTACTGTAGGTCAGTAACACAATGTTTGCGAATGGCAACAATAAACTAGTTTTAATGCGGTCATGTTTCCATTATCATGGGACGAAATGGAGTTTTGTGACTGTTTAATGACTAGAACAAAACAAAACCTGGAGATTTGTCTGTAAAGTTACCACCGGTTTGTAGAGAATGGTTCTGCAGGTCGGGTGGAACTGGGGGTTACTGCAGGTCAGTGACACACTTCGCAACGGTCGAAATCACAACAACAAACGATTTTTACCTTCGCCAAGAAGGTTATGTTTTCAGTAGCGTTGTCTCTGTGTGTGTTTGTGTGTGGTTTAGCGAGATAACTCAAGAAGCAGTGGATGGGTTGGAATGAAACTTGGTAGGTGGGTAGGTCTTCATGAGACCTAGAAATGATTAGATTTTGAGGCCCCTGGCGGCTTTCCTATGTACTGCAGCAGAACTTCGGGTTTTGATATCTCGTGATCTGGACATGCTAGGGTCAAGAAGTTTAGCCCTCGATAGAGGTGCGCCTCGGCCACGTACACCACCACGAAGTCGGCCACTCGGAGGTGAAGTCCGACACTGAACAAATATTTAACCTCAGAGCACTAGGTGAAAAGTACTGTCAACACCAGCAAGACATCTATCACGTTTTCATTGATTAAAAAAGCGTTCGATAGAGACCGACATTTGGGTTACAATGAAGAAATACAACATGGGAAAAAAGCTTATCCAAACCAGAGCTCATCCTGGTATCCAATACTACAATGTGCCTCAAGTATGACATGGCCACAAGGGATCTTGGGGCTACTAACTGAACACTCAAAGGAGTTTGTTTTCTTCAAATTTGTTATGAATGAATGCTTTAAGAAATTGAATGGTCCGATCTTTGCCATGAATCTTGGGGAAAATATCAACCTGTCTATAAAGTGAGTGAAAGAGACATAAAACGCCACAATAATGTCTAGGCAAACAAATATATTCATTACGCACTGACAATTGAACGACATGGCAGAGGGCTTAAGTATTTGACTATGCTACACTTTCCTTATGTATTCTTTATTGTGGCATCAGCATCTCATTGTGTTCAACATAACAACAGGTTCCACAACTGAACTGACATCAGAGCGAAGCCAAAGTGAACCCGTGGTGGTCTCGTTCTCAGGTTCTCACCAGTGCACTAGACATTTCCAATGAGACCATCATTCTCTCTCACCACATTCCCACCTTGACTTTGGTTCCGTTCAGCTCAAAAGTGAGAATCCGAGTAATTGTCACCAGAGTTGCAAAATGTTTCCCCTGATACATTGGATACTTAGTCTAAAGGTTAGTCCTGTAATGGATTGCTGTAGGCAATTGAACGTGAAATAAAATCATCCATACTTGACAATGCTGTTATACATATATATGTGTGTGTATATACCTACATGGGAAATATTAATCCGAGTGACTTAGTTATTGGTGTTTCCTCCTTGGAATTTAGTGAGTGAGTAGTGTTGTCGTTTGTACTTTAGAGTAGACTCTTAAATTGTTTCTTTTGCCAGGCTTTGTAGAAAAAAATGCTCATGAAATATAACTTTTGAAATCCTCAGAACCACTCTACAAATTGAATTTTACAGCAGTCTTTGAAACATCTGCCTAAAGAACATCACACTTGGACGCAGATGATGAGTCTACTTTGAATAACTATGGGCACATAAACACCCGAAAAGACCACACAAAACCTCCGTACGTTGGGGTAATAAACATCAATCAGGATGTAGCAAAGAGTTTAAAACTGCATGATGTCTGCCCTAGAAATAACTATAGAAACTGTCGACAGTCCCTCTACTTTATCCAGAGAATTTCTGCAGCCAGTCACGGACTTCCTCCGGGCGGTAGCCACCCGTACCCTGCTCGCCCCTGTAAACACACACTCCGTCCAACACGATGTACAACCTGCGGGCAACATGACAAAAATGATGAGCAAGCAAACTACAGCAAAAAAAACATCATTACGTCAGTACTGACAAGAAATACCTCCGCCCCTGATGCGTCGCCAAAAAAGGTAATTACAACAACAAAAAAACTCACTAGAGTCTTATCCAGAAAGGTGCCTATCTACTTCTGTGCCTGCATGGGTTAGGGCAAGGACATCAGGCACGGTTCTGGGCAGTCTACAGGCACGGTTCTTGCCCCAGACACCTGTCACTGTGAACTATCCAGAGCAGTGCTTGAGCATGGTTCTGGATAAAGCACGGTTTTGTACACAAAAGCCATGCTTCGTTCTCAGTCTGAGTTCGCTCAATTTACCTTACTGTTACAGGTAAAGAACGAAATATGGAGTACCTCCAATATGAATAATGTGGTGAAATCATGATAAACCTGTAACTCACCTTTCCGGTAACGCTGCGTACGCACGGGCGGCGGCGTTGTCCATGGTGTCCACCAGGATAGGACAGGGGATGTCGTGCAGAGCCAGCATCTCCGCTGCCGCCAGTCTTTCCTCCAGACTCCGGTGCTGCCGGATGTCCGTGGCCATGTTTCCGCTCAGGGCCCAGCCGTCGGTGGGGTGCGCCTCGGCCACGTACACCACCACGAAGTCGGCCACGGAGGCGAAGTCCGACATGATCCGCTTGACCATGTCCAACTTCGCCCGGAACGGCTGTCAGGTGTTGCTGCCGAAGCTGATGACCAGAGGGCGGGCCGCCCGGGCGAGCTGGAGCAGCCGGCAGGAGCTCCCGTCAAGCCTGACGAGGGAGGAGTCGGTGGCCTTGCCTCCCTCAAACACTTCAGCCTCCAACTCCAACGTCAACATGAACAGCATTCCTTTCCACGCAGCCAGACTTGCCCGTTCGCTCAGGTATTGTTGACACTGCTCAGGTGTTGTCAACATCCCCGGGGCCCTCCTGTCTACGTCTTTCTTCCAGGAAGACAAAATCTTTCCTCTAAGGGGCGGGAAGAGGCATGCTATCCACATCATGCCAGAGCAGACTACGAAATATGTACTTCTTAACACCAGCCGCAGATACTGTACAAGCCATTTGGCTCTCTTAAAGAAGGCGGCCGCGGAAGCCATTTCGCAGCTTCATGGACAAAGGTCAGAAATTGGCGCAGGTTTAGGCGCAAGGGCCACTTTCGGCACGGACGAAATAACACTGAACAAATATTTAACCTCAGAGTACTAGGTGAAAAGTAATGTCAACACCAGCAAGACATCACGTTTTCATTGATTAAAAAAGCGTTCGATAGAGACCGACATTTGGGTTACAATGAAGAAATACAACATGGGAAAAAATCTTATCCAAACCAGAGCTCATCCTGGTATCCAATACTACAATGTGCCTCAAGTATGACATGGCCACAAGGGATCTTGGGGCTACTAACTGAACACTCAAAGGAGTTTGTTTTCTTCAAATTTGTTATGGATGAATGCTTTAAGAAATTGAATGGTCCGATCTTTACCATGAATCTTGGGGAAAATATCAACCTGTCTATAAAGTGAGTGAAAGAGACATAAAACGCCACAACAATGTCTAGGCAAACAAATATGTTCATTACGCACTGACAATTGAACGACATGGCAGAGGGCTTAAGTATTTGACTATGCTGCACTTTCCTTATGTATTTCTCTTTATTACGGCATCAGCATCTCATTGTGTTCAATATAACAAGAGGTTCCACAACTGAACTGACATCAGAGCGAAGCCAAAGTGAAGCCCTGGTGGTCTCGTTCTCAGGTTGTCACTAGTTCTTCCCCTCGGCTCAAATGTTAGAATTCGAGAAATTGTCACGAGTTGCAAAATATTTTCCCTTGATACATTGGATGCTCAGTCTAAAGCTTTGTCTTGTGATGGATTGTTGTAGGCAATGGAACGTAAAATAAAATCATCCATACTTCACAATGTTGTTATAACGTTACACATACCTACATGGGCCATATTCATCTGAGATAGTTAGTTATTGGTGTTTCCTCCTTGGTATTTAGTCAGTTTTCAATGTTTTTGTTTGAATGTTTTCGGAGAACGAACCGATTCCTGCATCTGATTGGAGATAAAGGTATGCGACAGGAAGTAGTGATGACCTTACGTCACTTCCGTCTGAACACAGGCCTGTGACACTCCGGTAATTATCGAGGCGGCTCAATCAACATCTCATGATTTCATTGAAACTGCAACATAAAAGGAGACTTAAAACTTTCTGACAATGTTGTGGGCATTACTTGTTGTCACCGTCGCTTTTACGACAGGTGTGGACACATACCTGAAGACCATGTACCATGTAATGCTTATATATCGTATATATATTGTACTGCTACACAATTGTACTGTACATTTTCAAGGTGAAATAAAGGTCGAGATTTTCAGCATTGTTGTCTTTGTCAGAAGACTATGGAATTGTCTCGCCGCATTGTGTGTGACCGCGGATTTAGCTGAATAACTCTTGAAGGCATGATTCGACGTCCATGATTTTTGGCAGGCAGATTACCGTTGTTGAGGGAAAAGTCAAGTGCAAGTTTGGGCTTCGTGGGAGATCTGTATTTCACTGCAGCGGATTGTTTGTGGCTTGTGAGCAATATAACTCAAGTATGTTTGAATAGATATTCATGATTTTTGGTAGGCAAGCCACCATTGTAGAGGCCAAGGTCAAGTTCGAAAACGGGCCTCGTGGGGGTCCCTATGTAGCTGCAGTGGATATATAATGATCTTTCCCCACCAACCTCTGCATTGATTCAGGTGGGAGACAGCTGTTCTCCATTCCTGGTCCGTCCCTGATTTGTGAATTTACCCCTGCATTCTGGACAACATTCACCAGGGGGCGCCCTTACAAGGATCTCAGGACTGACGGTGATGTGTATACATACTTCTACCTCTTATAGGTCAATGATTTGATTACTCAATGATTTGATTACTTCCAACTATTGAATGACTTGATTCAAGCGTTAACACCTGTGTTTGAGGAACAGTTGAGGTTGTTGAACCTGCGACACAAACTTCCCCAACTTCCCCAACCGTTCTTCCAGTCCGTTGGTTTTGACGAACATACAATCATGCTTAAATGAACTCGAAATTAGGCAAGTCAGAAATCAAGAAACATATAGGCAGTGGTTAAACATGTTCTTTTTCACGTGTCTGAGGTATATATACAGCGAGTTCGCTTCAGGTGCGACATTGCGCGAATAGAGCCAGTCGGCAATACACGTACAATAGTCGTCATTACCTCAGTGTTCTGTGGATGGTGGTGAAATGCAGTTCAACCGCCCTGATTCATATTCAAATGTCAACGTCCTTCCGTTCAAAAGTCAACTACAAGGGAGAGAAAGAGCTTTGTTTTGCTGCGGGCAGGCTTGTAGTTTGCCAATGTAACAGTTACAATTAATATGCCCAGAAAAATACGTGCAGGTTACCACAAA